GCGCGTAACCAGATTTGTGTGTGCGTACCCAGATTTGTGTGTGCGTAACCAGATTTGTGCGTGCGTAACCAGATTTGTGTGTGTGTAAAAGAAATATTTGTGCGTGTGTAAATAGATTTGTATGTACGTATCAAGATTTGTGTGTGCGTAAAAAGATTTGTGTGTGCGTAAAAAGATTTGTGTGTGCGTAGAAAGATTTGTGTGTGTGTAAAGAAAAAAAAAAGTACGTTTTACACACAAGTTTTTTTTTTACACACGAATCTTTTGACGCAGTCCTGCCTTCGCAGATTCGCAAGTGTAACTTGGACTGTGTGCGTGCGTAAACAGATTTGTGTGTGTGTAATTTGACATTTGTATCTGTAGCAGAACAATCTGTGTGTAAATAACCGCGTTGTACAAAGAGAAGAACGAAAAAAGCCTAAGTGCTACGCACAGGCTCTGTTTTACACACGAATCTCTTTTTGACACACCTCTGCCGCCAAGCGTGTGTCAAAAAGATTTGTAAGTGTAATGTGGTTGTTCTAGCAGTACACCAGCAGATGGTGCTGTTGTAGCTGGTTATTACCTACACGCAAGCAAACCAAAACCTACTGCCTTGACAAGACACACTACCGCAGCTGTTTATGATATTTTTTTCCTATTTTCAAAATCCTGTCATTCACACCACTGTATGATACATGGATCTATTATAATAACTGGATAGGGTGTTACTAGCTTGGAGCTGAGGGATTCTCACGTACTGCAGACTAAATTCACGTTGGCTACACAGAAATTTTCCCCATAGAACTCAAAGTAAACTAAAACAGCTGACAGATAACCTACAGCTTTCATAAAGGTCGGATTTTGTGGGAATTTTAGTGTTCCTTGTCATCCTGAACTTTTCTTCTTCTTAAACCCTTCGGTTTTCTCTATCTACACTTGTTGGTTTGCTTGCGTGTAGGTAATAACCAGCTACAACAGCACCATCTGCTGGTGTACTGCTAGAACAACCACATTACACTTACAAATCTTTTTGACACACGCTTGGCGGCAGAGGTGTGTCAAAAAGAGATTCGTGTGTAAAACAGAGCCTGTGCGTAGCACTTAGGCTTTTTCCCGTTCTTTCTTTGTACAACGCGGTTATTTACACACAGATTGTTCTGTTACAGATACAAATGTCAAATTACACACACACAAATCTGTTTACGCACGCACACAGTCCAAGTTACACTTGCGAATCTGCGAAGGCAGGACTGCGTCAAAAGATTCGTGTGTAAAAAAAAAACTTGTGTGTAAAACTTACTTTTTTTTTTCTTTACACACACACAAATCTTTCTACGCACACACAAACCTTTTTACGCACACACAAATCTTGATACGTACATACAAATCTATTTACACAAGCACAAATATTTCTTTTACACACACACAAATCTGGTTACGCACGCACAAATCTGGTTACGCACACACAAATCTGGTTACGCACGCACAAATCTGGTTACGCACACACAAATCTGGTTACGCACGCACAAATCTGGTTACGCACGCACAAATCTGGTTACGCACGCACAAATCTTTTTACGCACACACAAATATTATTGAAACAATAATAGCTCCATACTCTCGTCCGTGTGTGTGTGTGTGTGTGTGTGTGAGAGAGAGTGTGTGTGTGGGTGCGCATGAGAGGGTGTAAGTTTGTACCTGTTAGGTATGGTGTGTTGAACATGTTTATCATTTTTTGCTGTTTTCATTTCTTTTTTTTCTTTTTTTTGTGTGAATGTGTGTACGTCTATGTATGTATGTATACTTTTATTTTTGTTTTGTTTTTTATTTTTATTTATGTTTTTTATTTTTTATTTTTATTTTTATTTTATTTTCTTGTATATGAATGCATGTGTATTTCATTATTATTCTTTTTTTTTTTTATTTATTTATTTTTTTTTTTTATTTATTTATTTTTTTTTCTTTTTCTACTTTCATTGGTGGGTGGGTGTGTGTGTGTGTATATACATACATATACAAAACACGTGTGTGTATATACATATTCATAACCCTTTTCTGTTTCTGCATCCTTTACTATTCTTAGGGACTGCCTGGTTTTGTTTTATTTTTTATTTTGTTTTTTCTCTATGTCTGTGTGATTGTAGGGATTATGTTTAAAAATGCAATAAAAAATATTGTTCAAAAAAAAAAAATAGTACCCCCAGTATGTCCTCAGCGTTGTCAGACCACGTCATTTACGTGTGACACGTAACTAGTACTGGTGCGGTGCATGGATTTATTATAATATCAGAGCAAGTGTTTAATAGAAAATTCAGCACAGCACGAGTAGTTTTTGAAAATGCTTATGTCTTAAAAGAATGACTCAGAAACTGAAGTCAATGGTGCTGACTGCTCTGTACAATCTGAATGGGACCTGTAGCAACAGCAGCCTGTGTAGCAGAGGAGGAGGGCTGCTAACCTGGCAAGAGCCAGATTGATGATTGTGTAGAACTCTAATGCGTTCTCCACAATATCAATCTGGGACTTCTGCAGGAGAATCCTTTCGGGGAAAGGAGGGATAAGCAGCAGAATACTTCAAGCTGATTGGGCGAAGTGACGCTGTGTGCCCGCCTACCAAGGTTTGACTTAAACCAATCCTGGTAACATCTTTGCCGTCCAGAAATGCACAAAGCGCCTCTTGCTGTTCATCTTTCAAAAAAGAAATTGGAGATTCTGCTAAAACTGACTTGATAGCCTCAGCTACGTGTTCGTCCTCCTGCGTAGCCATGTTTGTTTTGCTTCGGCCCGGCACTTCTTGCTTTCGTCAAACCCGGATATCCCGCCCTAAACCCCCAGACTGGCGCGTGATTGGCTTGAACACCTAGATGTTCTACTCGAAAAGGGTTGGCGGGAGCGGGACAAGATGTATTCTCGAGTGTTTGTGAACTCACAAATACCACGAGAATTCAGCTTGCAGGCAAGGTTAGAGGGCTGCATGTCCGAGGATACTGCTAGGCTATAGCTAATGCTAGCGCTAGCTCGAGACTCAGCTCACTCACTAACCCTGGATTCCAAAGCTATACTACACTTATCACATCTATCACTGCCCTCAGAGGAGGATCCAGGGTTTAAACTCGTCATATGGCAACTAGAGCAGTAAAGGACCGAGGGAGAAACAGCGGTAGCCATGGGGTAGCGAGTTAGCGGCTAGGCTAGGCTAAGCTAGGCTAAGCTAGGCTAGTCCAGACTTGGGTCCGGACTATAGCAGACTCCGAGACCAGACAAACAATCGATACCCAAACCTCAGCTACAATAATAATAAATGAATGAAACACAGTCTTGGGATACAATCACAGATTTATTGAAAACAAAAGTAAAGTTCAAAACCAACAGTTTACAAAGTCAAAAGTACGTATGTGTGAGACCAGGTCCAGACCAGGTCCAGACCAGGTCCAGACCAGGTCCAGACCAGGTCCAGATGAGGAGAATACTCCGGTCACTCATTACTCGTTGGTAATCTCACTTATGCGAAGGGATTCTCATACAAATATACGCATGACAACTTAAATACAAGCACAAAACAGAATGACAACACGTGAATACTGCAGATAATACGAGATAAAGCACAGTAGCACAGGGAGGACGTTAGCTTAGCTGCTATCGATAGCTAAATGAAGCTAATTGTAGCTAGTTCACTGTGTACAACAGACAATCGAACATTTACACAGTAAATACATTTCAGTGAGAGCTTTAACGGGATTCGTAGCTAACCAGTTATTTCCAGGATTACCACAGACTAGTCACAAATCCAGAGCTGGGTGATCTCCTGAAAACTGTGTTGAGCCTCGAGCTGCCTTTGAATTCTTTCTTTGGCCTGAAGAGAGGAACGTGTGGACCTCGTCCACCGACCAGGACCAGGACTTTTGGGGCTTTCTGTGCAATTCCATTTCTCTGGAATGAGGAGGACGTAATGTAGCCGAAGCAGAGCCGAGCAGAGCAGCCTGTTTTAAAGATGGCGGTTGAGTTTTTCCCAAAGGGTCAGACGTCGCTTCCAGTGACGACACTCGTTGACCAATCAGTGTAAGGCAGTGGGCCGACGTGACGTCATGGCAACGGTACTATGGGGATGGAACCACGGCTGAGGCAGTACGGAAAAGTACGCAAATCTCCCATTCCATCCACTAGTGGAAACGCAAAATTATCGTGCTGAAGCGTACTGTACTGGACCGTACTGATACTGTGGAAAAGCGGCATTAGAGACCAAAGTCCTAGCCTCAGCTCAGATTGTAAAGTGTCTGACAATTAGATGAACCACGATGTGTGACAGAGGCACCTGCTCCACAAACACCCTGCCCTTTAGTTGTTTGTGGAAGAGGTGAAGAGAAGTTTTATTCTTTTAGTAATCCTTCTCATTTCAATGACCACATGTAAAAAAATCCATTTAAAGGAGCATGGTCTTCCTCTCCTTTCCTGTCCCAAAAGTATATAATATAACATCCATCCATTTTCTTCCGCTTTATCTGTTCTTGGGTCGCGGGGGCAGCAGTCTAAGCAGAGATGCCCAGACTTCCTTATCTAGACACACTTCCTCCAGCTCATCTGGGGGGACTCAAAGGTGTTCCCAGGCCAGAGAGAGACATAGTCCCTCCAGCGTGTCCTGGGCCCGGAACACCTCCCCAGGGAGGTGTCTGAGGCATTCAGAACAGATGCCGGAGCCACCTCAACTGGTTCCTCTCAACGTGGAAAAGCAGCGGCTCTACTCCGAGCTCCTCCCGCGTGACTGAACTCCTCACCCTATCTCTAAGGGAGCGCCCAGCCACTCTGCGGAGGAAGCTCATGTCGACCGCTTGTATCCGCGATCTCGTCCTTTGGGTATTAACAATGTAACATGAAACTCATTGAAAGATTTGGTTTTGGGTTTGTTTCTGTGACTAAGAATTGACAGCGTACAGTAGATTTGATTCACACTCAGGCACAAAGGAAGATTATGTAAAAGGAGAAACACATTGATTTGATGAAGAATGGTGGAGTAGACGTACCGTGGCAAATGCAGTGGCGATGAGCTTCTTTGATCTGTTCCAGGAGTTGGTCCAGTGTCTCCTTCCTTTTAACCCGAGAAGGACAACCACCGACGTCCCTCCAACCTGCACAGAGCAACTGCAGCTAAATATACAAGGGAACAATTGACTTTAAGATAATCTACGATTGTGTGCTAAACAATATAACTGAATATGGTTCAGGTGTTCTGTAGGACGAAGGCAGTGGATGTGGTTACAGGGAGCATGACTCCAGTAACCATCTATTCCAAAGCAGACACACCTATACACCTGCTATGGAAGTGTTATACAAGTCAACAGGATAAAGAAAATGGGATTTGTCAGAATAACTGCACTGGCAGCACCTGCGGACAACCCTACCCGACCCGCCTTGTGGGCTGCACCCCCTCCTGCCTGGGAGTTACTTCAGTCATGAACTAGACCCGTCCTTGTTGGGCGGCATGGTGGCTGAGTGGATAGCACTCTCGCCTCTCAGCAAGAAGGTTCTGGGTTCGAATCCTGGTCGGAACAGGGCCATTCTGAATGGAGTTTGCATGTTCTCCCTGTGTCTGCGTAGGTTTCCTCCGGGGCCTCCGGTTTCCCCTACCACTAAAAACATGTGGCATAGTTCAGGGTGAATGAGTGTGTGTTTGTGAGTGTGAATGTGGGACAACGGATGGAAATTAGCCCATGACTACAATCTGGAGTGATGTTCATTAACATGTACTGTCCCAACCAAAAATAAAAGTATAAAACCGCTGCGTGGCCTTGGTCCTCGTTCTGTAGCTTAGGTCCTGGATCTACAGCCCGTCCATCCGTGTGGAGCAGATCCCTCTCTCATTGTGGACTTCCCCAAGGTTTCTCAATTTCCCCCCACTGGGTTTTAGAGTTTTTCCTTGCCGATGAAGGAGGGTCCGTTGCTAGTTAGTGTCTAACTAAAAGGACCGTGGGGATGATCCAGGACACTAACGTTCTACAACATATGTGGACATTTATCAACATTCATGGACATTGGTTTCTCCCTATGAACCAATACCTATGTGTTCTGTATTTTTGGTGTTTGAACTGTTTGATTCTCTTTGATAACTACTGTTGTGATTTCGGGCTATGCAAGAATAAATTGAATTGAATTAACTACAGTTTAGAAGACACAGTGATGTCGAGATGTGCTTGTCTCATTCTTTAAAATAAACATTCTAAAGAGACAAATAGACTCCGTTCAAGTATGTGGAAGATGTTCTTCCACATACTGTTTGTGTCGGGCCTTACTCCAGTGACCATCAGGCCTGTCCTGCCTTCTACATACTGCACGCACACACACACACACACACACACACACACACACACATACTGCACACACACACACATACTGCACACACACACACACGCACACATACTGCACACAAATACACATATATGTCCCAGGCTGATAGGACCCTCAACAGCAGAGTGCACCTTGAGCCTGAACAGCAGCACCCATGCAGCTCTTGCCCCCATCAGGCCTGAACCCCCCCGGAGGGTATGTGCCTCAGCAAGACGGGGAGCTACATTCCCGGAAAGGTGCCTGTCCCTGCAGGACAAGTGGGGCCTTTAATGGGCGTCCGTGGCCCGCATAAGGCCTCCACTGTTGAGGCTGCGCTGTGCGCTACAGCACAGACATGCAAATATTTCCAGTGGTAGGCCCAAATGGAAAACACAAACATGCAACATCAAAATTAGCTCTGAGAGGTGGGGGAGGGGCCATCACAAAAAGTATAGAAAAAAGAGGGAAAGCCCAGTCTAAAAGAAGACTCACAGTTAGCAGAAACACATGGTGTCATTAAGAATCAAGAATAATGCAGCTGTGTGTGTTCCCCAGATGTGTCATGTGAGAAGGTCAAATACACACTCATACTATATATAATACACACACACACCAGCAACACTGTTCTGGTGCTCTACTGTAACATACACACCAGCAACACTGTCCTGTACACTACTGTAATAGTTAGGTTTCATTATCTTTTCGTCCAACAACAGCTGAGCTCTCTATCTCTAAAGCACTGAACTGTAATGTTTACACGTCTTTATTCCAAGATTTCTTAGTTTTCAAGTCTCAAATAAAAGTCGTTTGCCCCAAGTCCAAATCTAAGTCCTCTGCTTTGGGTTATTTCCAAATCTTAATACAAGTTTACAGAAGGTCGTACTTTATAAACGTCTCTTGATAAAAAACAGAAGTCTGACTGGAGCAATTGTCTTCCACTTCTGTTGTAAGTACAAAGCCTGGACCACACGTGTACTACCTGGACATCTTGAATGACCATCAATGGATCAGTGGATTTCTTCTTCCTCCTTGGCACCAACCATTCCAACAGGAATCATTAGATTCACGATGAAAGTGAGCTTCAGGGAGCGTGCGACATCGCCTTCATGCAGAGTGGTCATCAAAGAGTTCAGACTCGCCTGGCCTTAGCCATCCGTAAACTCCGGTCAATAATCATTTCCTACATATACGTCTGGATCTGCTCCCAGTGGCTGCAGTTACCTCGGTTGTATCCCATCCGACCATTCAGCGAGTGGGGGAGGAGGGCGTTGTAGCTACGTCTCGTGACATATAGAGTTTGCGCCGACTTGCTGGTTGTAGTTTGGCGGCGATTGCGATGGTAAAGCAACCCGTTCTGGTTTGGCTCCAAATATCAAGAAATTGAAGCAGGAGCAAGAGGAATGTTCAGCTAAATGAATTATTATTCTAATTTCAGACATGCTATTTATCCAAATTAAATTTATTTTTCTTTTAATTATAGAGGGATTAAAAGAGAAAAAAAGATGTGACTGCCACTTTAAATTGTTTCAGCCTAAAATCAGAGAATCAGACAGTTGAATTGAGAAAAAAAGTTAAAAGCAAGAAAACATGAGCTTCATAGGTGTGTGTGTGAAAATGTTTGTGTGTGTTGAATGTGATCAGTGTGGGGATAGATTAATCGACAGAATAAAGCAGGGCCTGCGCTGCACAGTGAGTCAACACCTCAGCTGTTGTGGCGAATGACTTCACGGTTAACTTCTTGGCTGAACCCAGGAGCCTCTGGTGCCAGCCAAACCCAAACATCACCCGAGCTACAGTTACATGCACTGACGTCTGCATCGGGGGTCCCAGAGCCCACGCGGAGCTCTGGCCAAGAAGAGTCCAGCTGTCACCCCTGGGATGATGTCAAGGCAACCTCCAATGACGTGAGAGCCGCACAATCAAACGGCTGTGTGATGATGCAATCTTGTGTTTTATGTGTGGGAAACCTGCGAGAGCTTTTGTCTTCATAAAGAGAACACACTAATCCTGCTGTTTAATCATGTGAGAGCCTCCAGAACCAGGGATTCCCATCTCAAACAACTGGACACTTACTGGAAGGAGCAGCACAAGCTGGAGTGGAGACTTGCGGGGGACCCCAGCCTTTCATATTGAACGCCGACACTTGGACATAGTAATACGTGCCCTGAAAGAACAGAACAGAAGATCACTTACACAGAGAAAGTGATACATGCATCTCACTCCTCACTCCTCATGTAAAGCACGTATGGCCACAGCAGACAGCTCTGCTTTCTCAGCCAGATCAATCACAGTGACTGCCGAGACTTTCTGACCTCTCCTTGACCCCTGTCATCTGACAGGAGCAGTCCCACAGGGGGAGGGGGTTTCTCACAACTACAAACACCCAGAGAATCCTCCATTTGTCTGTACTACTGCAGAAACACATCAATCAGAACACAAGGCTCTTTGGAACTGTTTGGAGACGCATGCACACGAACACATAGGACCGGACCTCCCCAAACGTCAAACACCAACAGGATTCACTCTGATGTGACATCACATTTTATCATTGGTCTCACACTCGGCTTCAGGAACATCACATGTGTCATGTGACGCATGTGTGCAGCAGTGAGGACAGAAGTGCCTGTGCACCTGCCCCACAAACCATTGTCACTGTGAGTGAGTTCGATCCATAGTTGGACCATAGGGTAATAAGGCTGGATTTGTTAACCTATGGATTTCTGGATAAAGAGGAGGATTCTCTACTCCTGGGTGGATCATCAAGACTATTGGTCCTCCTACTTTTCAATAATTCTGGACATACGTGCTCGTCTTTCCTAAAATTTGGAAAAATACCTTTAAGACACAAACTGTGAGTAAACTTCAGGAGAGACACTTTAGTTCAGGAGGAGATGATGGAGACGACATCTGACTCATGTATCAATAAGCTTTAGGGGCCATAGAAATGCTCTTGCAGGTCGTATATTTGACAGTCTACTGTGGACACAAATATTATTTGTTGTCCTCTGTGCTGGAGTTATTGCACATGTAGTCACATCAGAAACGGCCGATCTCACACATGTGAAACAACAGATGCAAACAAAGGAGGACTGCACTGACATGAACGTGGAGTAGTTGATCATCTGTGAGATTTCATAACACTTTTAAGCAACTTTTGTTAAGGTTAAACTCATCATTCTATCAATGTGCAGAAGCCTGTACTTTTCCCTTGTTTTGTCTATCTGAAGGCCAAGCTACATGGCACCGTGGAAGCTGCTGATTGGAGGTCTCCATGCCTCCGCTCTGTATAATACACTTGCATTCTGTTGTTCGTGCTGTCTCTACCATCGACAATAAAACATGTCTTCTGTCTGAATTTAAGACGCGATCCCAGACTATGTCATCTTCTTCACATCTTTAGACTTAGCCTGGGGCATTGTGCTCTAACCATGTGTTAGTGGAACCTACACTGGTGAGTCCTGGGATGGTGCAGTGCAGCTGGGTGGTGTCTTCCACCACCATCTCTCCCAGGGGGGTCACGGCGGTGTACGGCGGCGAGCTGCTCCAGCTCACTGCAATGGACATAAAAGTAGATTTACCTCGTAATCTAAACACCATGATATATGTTTGATTGTGTGTCTGTGACACCTTTATACTTTGTCACCACTGCAGAGTTTACACAGACAGGCTCCTGGAAGTCCACCCTGAGACTGGTGCTGCTGCTGACCGAGAGGCGGACCACACTGGGGGCATCTGGGGGACCTACAGGGAGGGGTCACACAAATCAAGTCTGAATAGTAGTACTAAAGCACATTCCCAATCGTTACAAAGTATGTAACAACAGTATGTTCTACTGTAACACCTAACTCTGATCAGGGCTGTAATGAAGGATTCTTTTGAAAACAGATTATTTCTCTAATCGTTGTTTAGTTCTCAAAAGCACAGTAACTTTGATATTTTTTGAGCATTGGATCCAAACAGAGCTCCAGCGATGCCCCTTCATAGAGACGACATGTTACATAATGACTGATTGATTGAAAATACTTTTCAAACACATTTTCACTTCATTCTTCAGTTGCAAAACCTCTTAGCATGTTTAAGTCTACACAAGGCTCAGCAACCAATTCATCGATTACAAATTCTGTCGACAATTATTTCATTCAATGAACTTGTTAGGGCCCAAGCTTTTGCCACTATCTCTGCAGCGACTGTGGCTGCAACAACAATCATGCTTTTGAGCCAGTGGTATAATTTCCATTCTCAGAAGTTGCCCATTAAATGACATGACTGTGTGGAATAATAAAGTGGGCTTTTTGCTTTAAAGCACAGAATAGTTTGGTCGTGTGCGTGAGAGTGCGTATGTGTAAAGGAGGCGGCTGTCATGGAATGCCTATTAAAAATTAAGGCAGTAGTGCGACAGTTCTCTTGGCAACTCTGCGTGGAAGCCATTAAGCTAGACTCCGCACCTCGCAGCTTTTTGGAGGCATGTTGCATTGATCTGAGCTGCTCCTGCGACGACGTGTGTGAGGACTCCTTTGTGACGGGAATCAAAGTGAGAGGGACAGACTTACTGGCGTGTTCGAAGCCGCTCTGCATGCGCCGTAAGAGCCGCAGCCGCCACTCCCAGGCCTTGAGCTGCCTCTCCCGGTCGGACACGTCGTGCTCGCTGGGGCCCTCGCTGTTCACCTGCGCATGGAGCTCGGACACCCTCTGCTCCGCCTCCTGCACCAGGGTGGCCAGGTGGACAGCACGGCCCTCCAGACTGACGACTGAAACACACCAGAGAGATCATATGAAAGTCTAATGTAAGGGTGACACGGTGGCTTAATGGTTAGAACTCTCGCTTCTCAGCCAGAAGGTCCTGGGTTTGAATCCAGGTTGGAACAGGTTTCCTCTACCACTAAAAACATCTACAATAGATCTGAATGAATGTAATGTAATGGTGTTGGTGCAGGGCTTTCATGCTCCGGATACTCCAGTGTGTTTTGGCGTCTCGCTTCCGTCATCACCGCGTGGAGAGAATAACTAACTAATCATGAGGCTAATTCAATTCCATTCAATGTATTTTTGCATAGCCCTAAGTCACTACAGTAGTTATCAGAGAGGACTTTACAAAGCGGCCGATTTTGCCCCCACAGATCAGAGAATCAAGCAGATCAAAAACAAGAAATGCAATGATAAATAAAACACACAGAGACATTGGTCCAAAAGGGGCAGAGACCAATGTCCATAAATGCGTGTTCTTATACTGCAGTTAAAGCTGGGCTACCTCAACGTTTCAAACCACAAACGATGCAACTTTGTAATAAAATCTAAACAGTTAAGATCATTCATTCGTCCCACGGTGGGGAAATGTCAGTGTTGCATCACAGGTTACAGAGCAGCACACAAGTGAATAAAGGTACAACTTTATGTTTGGCTCAATAAAGAAAGTAGAAAAAGTAGAAACCTGTGTGCTATAGGGGAAAATAAATATATAGTTTAGGAAGATTAATCTTGTCTTGTAAGTTTATATAAGTTAAAAAATTTATGTATTTACAAAACTCCGATCACTAAAAACAGTTCAAATATTTCAATAATTGATTGATTTGCGATGAATCAGTGACTCGTAACTTAGACGAGTGATGTCATGTGTTTGCAATGTGAATGGAAAGTTCAATCGTGACATGTGAGTGTCATTTGAACCAACTCTGAGAAGCACAGGTACTGGCCTCCTGCTGGGAATCTCGGGAGCACAGGGACTGGCCTTCTGCTGGGAATCTGGGGAGCACAGGGACTGGCCTCCTGCTGGGAATCTGAGGAGCACAGGGACTGGCCTTCTGCTGGGAATCTGAGGAGCACAGGGACTGGCCTCCTGCTGGGAATCTGAGGAGCACAGGGACTGGCCTCCTGCTGGGAATCTGAGGAGCACAGGGACTGGCCTCCTGCTGGTCCCAGAGTCAGGACTAAACATGAGGAGGCAGCGTTTCAGATCGATGCAGCTATAATCTGGAACCGTCTTCCTGAAAATGTTAGATTGTTTCTGTCTTGTTTTGTTCAGCACTTTGAGTTGCCTTGTATATGAACTGTGCGACAAAATTAAACTCGCCTTAACAACAGAATGTATAAATAGGTAAAACAGGAACATACAGAGACAAACCCAAGCCAAAAGTGACACCAGGACATCTGCAAAACGCTTTGAAAAAAAAAAAAAACATACTTCTTGCAAAATGGTCCTTCTGTTGTGAACATAATATGGTGGTGCTTTTGTTCAGTATTTTCAGTTTGGTAAATGTCTGTGTTTGTGCTCCGTCTGCTCCGCCGCACACTGAAGACAGAGAGATTGGACACAGCCTTTAGTGACACTACACAGAAGCTGCGGCAAATGGCTTTTCCAGGCTTTCCTTTAATGTCTTTGTTTGCCAGAGGCTGCAGCGTACTTCTCAATAAAGTCCGTTTAACTAAGCAGGCCCTCTTTAAGGATGACATCAGCCCCAAATTGACACTGAAAATGGGCAATGAAAGTGAGAAAGGCGAGAGGGAGGAGCGCCTAGCTAATGCACGCATAAACAAAGACAAAATTATGGAAACTTTTTTTTTTTTTTTTTAAGGCTGCAAGCGAAGAGTCTAAATGGAGCACAATGCAATGCTGGGAAGTAGCAGTGGTATCTTTTCTCTTGCGTTTTGTTTGTTCCAACAGAAAGAGTTGTTGAATATATACCAATCATTTACTCTGAATTTTTCCTGTCTGATAAAGGAGGGTCTAAGGACAGTGGTCATCTGCCTCTTATGGACCAATGGCTCTATGTGTTTGAACTGTTTTATTCTTTGAAGTCCTCTGAGTAAACTACTGTTGTTATTTAGGGTGATACAAGAACACATTTAATCAATTAATGTTTTAAGTATGTTCAGTATGGGGTGGGAGTCTAATAATAATAATAATATAATGCATTGGTTTTATATAGTACTTTTTTGGACACCCAAAGACTCTTCACACGTTATTATTCATTCACTCCATACACGGTGCTGATAAACTACTACAGCTGCCCTGGGGCACACTGACAGAAGCAAGGCAACAAGTATGTGCCATCGGCCCCTTCGACCACCACCAACCGTTCACACACACACCAGACTCATTCTAGGCAATGGGGGTGAAGTGTCTTGCCTAAGGACACAACGGCAGTTTGGCACTTTACAGCCGCAGCCGCCCCACTGTGGCTGGTGTTCCCAGAGGTTAAGTGTCTTGCCAAGGACACAACAACAGCAGACAGTGGGAGTCGATGGTGAAAGTCTTGAGGTGGGCTCGAACCCACGACCTTCTGGCTCAAAGGCCAATGCTCTACCTGTGTTTACTTCTTTCCCACTTCATAAATAGAAATACCTTTGGAAATATATATAGACATTGTAAATATACCAACATATTGTGAAACTATGTAAAATACTGTTGCGTGATGTGTATGTATTTGCCTGTGTAAGTAGATAATGGAAGCAGAAGCCATTGGTCCATAAGGAGCAGATGACAAATGTCAATACATGGTGATAAAGTCCATACATGGTATTGATTGTTGAGCGACGTGGATCATAACCACTGTCCTTAGACCCAACGGCATCAGAAAGAAACAGCTAACAACAAAAAAACCAGTGGGGCAGTTTCCCTCGTGGTCTATTTCAGATCTTAAGATGTGACAGAGGCCTTCAACAGTTTTGATCACAAGGAACTAGTGACTTGGATTTTATTACATGCTCCATTTCACTGCGGTTCGAAAGTACCGTACCCCAGCTTTAAACAGGCATGAGGAAAGTGATTATTTGGATAAAAATCCAAGCTTCGGGACGATCGCTCCAACTCTATCTCCACATCACACAACTTGTCCACCTCGTTCGCTTTTTTGCGCGGGGATGTGTACACGTCACAGTCCACTAGCGGTTGCTAACGGTGCCACAACAAATAAGTGAATGGTTGAGATGCTGCTGGGCCACATACCAGCACATAGCAGGTAATGTAAAGCCGTGGTCCAGGTCACGTCGGACAGTAGTGCTCTGTAGTTCTTCTTTGGTGGCTGGTCACTGAGGCACTGTTTGGAGCTGGTGTGTGTCTGTGTTTAGTCTGACGCATCTGTGTGTGTTCATTGTAGATTCCACTGTTGACACCAAGTTTAAAGCTGCGTGTCAAAATGTCCATCTGGGTGTTGTTTCTCTCTCTCTCTCTCTCTCCTCTCTCGGCGTCTCTGAGTTTTCCCTTTGAATCTAACCGTCATGTCATGTTCGACTCGAAGACCTGAAGTTGTCAGACTGGTAGCAATGGACGATTAAATTTAGTGTTGGGCGTTGGGCAGAGGTGAGGATTTTGGGGAGTCAAATGAGCCATTAAAACAATGCAACAACATAATTAATATGTAACGAAGCAGTACTAGCTTCTATACACTCTTGTATCATTAAAAGAGCCTTAAACATACTTAGAAACCTATTTCAGTCGCTATTTTACATTTTCAGGCAGAGCTGATAGAATTCTTAAACATGAACACAACCTATTTCAGTTGGAGAGCAGGAGAATCGACTATATGGAAAAGAGGCACTTTTTGAGAGGAATATTTTGATCATTGTATTATCATATCTGCATTATTTGATTTCTAGTGGAATCAGATGCAGCTGAATCCTGGTCTCAAGATCGCCCCCTACCCCAAGGCTGGCCTCACTTGGGGATATTACAAGCGGTGGTTGATCACGATAAAAAGACCCATATTTTTCATTTACTGATTATGTTTTTGTTTCGTGTGGATTGGCCCAAGAATCACAGACACATAAGCTCTAGACTAAGACTACAGGTCTGACACTTGGCATAAGTAACAGGAAAGATATTTCACTTCATAATTCATAGACTATTTGTAACTCTCAGATGTCGCATAAACTCAACCAACTGAGTGAGAATGGTCCCTCTTTTATCTCTGAAGAATAATCCATGGAAGTCTGAAAACTAGTAATGGAACTGTATTGAGAGCGACAAGGATTACTTTTTGCTAAGTTAAGCAGCCAGGGCAACACGGTTAGCAAGAAGGTCCTGGGTTCCACTCCACGCAGGGTCTTTCTGTGGGCGCTTGCATGTTCTCCCCATGTCTGTATAGGGTGGCCGGTTTCCCTTACCACTGAAAACATGTACCATAGATCCTCACCATCACTATGTGAAGTGAGAGGACAAATACCCACAACAACTGTAGAGTCTGGCTGTTAAAGGCGCTAGATAAGTAAGGGATTATGTATAGTAGGGCGACAGTAGCTCAGTTGGTAGAGCATTGGCCTTTGGGCCTGAAGGTTGTGGGTTCGAGCCCACTGTAAGACCTACTTCACGACTCCCACTGATGACTGCTGTCGTTGTGTCCTTGGGCAAGACACTTAACCCCAACTTTGCCTGAAGCCCTCACTGAAAGATCTCAGCTCCTGTGGACTCACCACCTACAGGAGGATCAGTGAGGGGCCAGTGCTCTGTGACTGGGTGCAGCTCTGACTGCCACCCCCCCGACCCAGAAATGGATTAAGGGGAAGAAAATGGATGGATGGATGTATAGTAGGTTGTGCGTCGGGGTCCGCTTCACCCTGTCGGTACTTATTTTCCGATAATAACTTGCCTACTATACATTATCCCGCTTATTATACGGCTTTGTACCAACAGAACACACAGAATAAACTTCAGTCCGCTTTGATGAACACCGAAAGGTTTATCTGGGTTTATCGCAATCGCTATTTGTCGCATTAAAACAGTATTTTTGTCATGAAAACGTTAACAGATAATTCTGGAAACCTCCGTGCACGTGTATTAATAATGTATATGTATAATGTATTCTCCATGTGTTGATTGATTGGTATTTTTGTTTATTGAGCACGGCTAGCTCCGATAGCTTCTCTCACAGAGACAGTAGTACCGACGAAGTGGCCGGAACTACTTGCGGAGTAATCTACACACCTGAATTATAAGCAGAGGCTGCGTTGCCAAAGGGCAGTGGTCATTATTGTTTTGAGAGGTCGGTTATCAAGAAATAATGACCGGTAGAACATTTTGAAATTACATTTAAATCATCGGAGCGTTCTCCTGCTGCTGTGAGGAGCGTGTCATAAATACAGATAACTTACTTACTAACCACAGCTTGAATATTGACCAATAAATAAGCTGGAAAGGAATGACTTATTTGGTTTTGTTTTGGCCATGTTTGGTCTAATCTGAACTATGATTTAATAGATAGATAGATAGATAGATACTTTATTGATCCAGTAGGAGAAATTCAAGTGTCCAGTAGCAGCAAAAAAAAAAAAAAGAAAAGCTGATCGTTCTAAAAAGCTAACAACAGTAATATTCAGCAACAGCCCTTCAGCTCCTTCAATAAGAAACATAGGAATCTCTCTAAAACAGGGGTCTCCAACCTTTTTTCAATCAGAGAGCTTTTATACAAACAAACAGGCAGAGAGCTACTCCTTTTTGCAGTCGTAATAAAAGTCAATTTAAAAATTACGACGAAACTCAGAGAACTCAAATAAAATACACCATAATACTGTATAACCCTATATCTATACTTATACTAGATATGTAATGGGTCAAAACTTATTCGTTGAGGTGTATTTGTTAAATTATAATTCCTTTGGCGAGCTACCTGTAAGGGGCTGGCGAGCTACTGGTGGCTCCCGAGCTACAGGTTGGAGACCCCTGCTCTAAAACATAAAATACTACAGAAATACAGTATATCTGGTTTTCTCTTTTCAAATTGTCATCTGATTTTAACTTTTCACAAATGTCAAATGTGAAACAGCACACTTTGTCGGGTTTATGGAATGACATAAATCCTGGGATGAAACGAAACCCACATTTATCCTCACCCCGAAGTGAAATAGAAACCGTTCTAACGTTGTATTTGTTGAATCCAGTATCCACGGGTGAGCTGTCATCGGAGCGCTGGGATTGAGACAGACTCTGGCCCCTCTGACACGGAGCGCTCACATCTTTTGTCCCGAAAAGATTTACAAGCGTATCCATAAATCTGCTGTTGTCGTGGTCTGCCCCCGTCGCCGTAGAAACCACACAGTGCACGGCAGTCGCGGCAATATCAATAACCATTAATTCTTTTAGGAGCTGAAGGCGAGCAGCACGTGTATGTGTGTATCTGTGTGTATATGTGTGTATGTGTGTACATGTGTGTGCATGTGTGTGAATAGGTGTGCGAGTGTATGTATATGCGTGTGTGTGTGTATGTATGTGTGCATGCGTGTGTGTGTGTCTACAGTATGTATATGTGCGTGTGTATGGGTGGGCGTGCGTATGTGTGTGTGTATGTGCATGTGTATGTATATGTGTGTGTGTGTGTGTGAGTGTATGCATATGTGTGTTTGTGTGTACATGTGTGTGCATGTGTGTGTGTATAGGTGTGTGCGAGTGTATGTACAGTATATGCGTGTGTGTATGTGTGTCTATGTATATGTGCGTGTGTGTCTGTACGTGTATATATGTGTGCATGTATTTGAATGGGTGTGTGAATGTATATTTGTGTGTGTATAGGTGGGCATGTGTATGTATAGATGTGTCTGTGTGTGTGTGTGCATGCATATGTATGGGTGTCTGTATGTGTGTGCGTATGGGCGCCTATATATATATATAAGTGTAATGTGCATGTGTGTGTGTGTGTGTGTGTATGCGTGTGTGTGTGTGAGTGTGTGTGTGTATGTACGTGTATATGTGTTCTCTGGTCTCCTCCCGATGCAGACTCACACTCTCACACTAGTTCTTTGGTGCAGAATCAAAGTAAACAGCACTTAACATTCAAGTGTTTTCCAGTTAATGATACCTTTATATGCGGCTGGCAGTTGGAAAGTCGCGGTGTGCGTACGAGTACACACATAACCACACACAAACATACACACACAAACAGGCCAGGAGTCAGACTGGCGAGTTCTAATCATTAGCAGAAGAGAAAAAGCAGGCAGATCAGACAGTCCCAAAAGTGCTTACTGAGATGACTAATATTACATCACAACTGCCGCCCTTTCATCTTCATTAATATTGCGGCCGTAAACTCAAAGTGCATGTTTTGTGAGTTGTGGGAGGATAAAAAGCTCGTCTGCATCATGTGAAATTATTTGGCTTCGGGTTTTACAACACTATAATTACATTCTTTTTATGTAGACACATCAGCTATAAGTATTATGGCTCCACTAATAGTGATTCCGGTGTCGCTGGATGGAGAAAACGTTTCATGGCTGTATCAGTTAAAGCTCGGGTACGTAACTTTTCACCCTCAGAATGAATACAGCCTGTATTGTCATTGTTGTGTTGTTCTGGACTCTCGAATAGTAGATCATAGAATTTGTGTCTTCATGTTTTGTCTAGGTTTGTAAACTGTTTGTTGTTATTAATAAAAATAAAATAAAAAAATATATATATTCTTTTTAAATTTTCTGAATAAGTTTGTATTGATTTAATCTTGTTTGAAAACATACTTTTGTGTAAGAAACTATTTATTTAATGTATTGTATTTTATGTCTTGTGTCTTTTATGGGTCCCCAATAGTGCTCCGGGATCAAATAAAATACTTTAGTGTGAAAACTAGTGATAGAACCATTATGTTTTGAGAGAAAATATGGATTTTATTAGTCACAGTTGATGTAGTTTAGGTACCCCAGCTTTAGAACCTCCACCTTGTTTGCTAACAGTGTTTGGAAGAAGCATTTCATATCAAGCCTAATGCCTGGAGAGTGAAAGCTAAAGCCTGTTTTGGACTTGTGTGTTGTTTGATTCTCTTGTGGATCCGCAAACATTTGGAAACACAAATTGTGAGCTCAGTGTTGTGAAAGCGCCGAGCTGAGGCTGCTTCTGTGATAGACATCCTGGCGACTACAGCAGAGGACTTCCAGAAATATGCTTGCTCCAAAACAATGAGCTCAGGCTACATTTTAATGGATCGGTGATGTCTGCCCCACTGCTCGAAAACAACAACAACATTATCCCCCGTGTTAAACTAGATTTGATGATTGTGAATAGTTTTCTCTTCCCACTTCCATTTCCCAATAGTTTTAATACACAGGGGAAGGGGATGCCCATATAAGGAGGTACAACCAAGTATGGGATGCAGACAGAGGAAGCCGCCTGTGCCTAAAACATCCTGCGTTTATTGGGCTCATTATTATTCTATGTCATTTTCTGGAAGATCAAAAACATAAAACAAGAAATACAAGCTTGACATGTGGGTAATACATCTATATATAATAATTTCCACTTTTTTAAATGACAATCACAATATTCGTTTAATTTGTTTAAATGCACCACACTTATATTCAAATGTTGTAGTTATTTTGGCCCCAAACCAATAGAGGGACAAAATAATCTAAAGCAGTGGTGCCCACAATTCAAACAAAGATCTACTTTTGTGTTGACATTTGAGCCGCGATCTGAGGTAGATTTATGTGGTGCTGAATATCACAATTGGTTTGATTCATGATCAAATAATGACCATGTTATGTTTATTCACATTTGGCAGGAAAGAAACTTTTAATATTTATCAGTTTAAACATGTAAACATGTAGTGTTTCTCATACTGTGAATGTCACTTATAACTTCTTACTTACTCACACACTTCAAACACAGCAGGATCAATGGGGAAGTGCTCGGCCCTGTCTCCTGTGTGCGTGTGGCACACAAGTGTCGCGTGTGAACGAGGATTTGTGAATGTGAGCGGCCTACACGGCCCTCGCCGTTAGAGGAGTGACATGTTTAATGCTGAATTAAAGAGAGATATGTGAATACGGTTTAAGAGCGTGACAAATTCAGTTGTAGACCTTTCAACTTTCTTGTGAGAGTAATAAAACAGAATAATGCTATTTCTAATGTTATAGATGTGAATGATTCCTGTGTGATTATTGTGTGTCCATGTCTTTGATTGTGTGTTGGTGAAACTCACAGTGAGGACTCTCCTTGGCCCCGGCTCGCAGCAGCAGCTTGGCCATCGGGACGTTGTTGGTCATGATGGCGATGTCCAGGGGAAGCAGGCCTTCACTGTTGGGGGTGTTGAGGTCCAGCTCCTCCAGACTATACTGGGACAGAAGCAGCTGCACCAGGTCTAGCTCTTGATGCTCCACTGCCTCGAACAGGGCTTCATTACTCTGGAACTGCGACGACAAACACACACATTCTTCTCACTAATATTCTATATTTTTCCTCTGACTATTTTTGGACGATAATGTCGGCAGCATGTTATTTTTTCCCTGTGTTTGAGTGAGACTTACGATGGTGGTTTTGCGCAGCCGCTCCTTGTCTCCGCTGCGTCCTGACACTACACTGTCCTCCAGGGAGGGGGGGTTGGTGCCCACGCGGAACTTTCCGGAGAGGTTGCGGTAAAGGCGGCGCGCCGCACTTGGAGAGGAGAGGCTGGACGACTTGCGGGTCGAGATGGACTGGTGCGCTTGGTCGGCCCTCATGGGCTGTGTCATGTTGGCAGAGTCAGCCCTGCAGAGAAAGAATGAAAGAAACTTTCAAACAATTCAGGATTTCAGTTTGAGGCCCAGTCACGAGGTTTCTGCCTAAAAAACAAAAAAGGCTCCGGATTCAGCGGAGGCCACAGACGCCGTCATCTGCAGTTTGCCTTTTTGTTCCCTTTAATTAGTCTGAGTTTCCCCATCCACCCATTACCCATTCTGGGTCCAATAACAATAATAATCCACTTATTCATGCATAATATTATGTGTTTGAAGTCTTTCTTTCAAAGACATCACACATTTGATCAGAACAAAACTGACAACTAAATGGAGCCATGGAAAGTACAAGAAAATATTAGTTTTAAAATAGACATTTTGGACTTTTGAGTGTGTGTCACTTTTCACTCATGTTTTTCTTTATACAGTTTTAACAAACATATGTTTTAAATTCCCACACTGGACGTATCTATCGTGTAGTCTCTAGTTTTCCATTGTCACTATTGACTAAATAATGCTGTATATTTGAAGCTCACATAAGACGGTCTACAATACATAAAAAATGTCTGCGTTGTGTCTCATCAGTGAAGATGAGATTCACAGATTTACAAACAGCTGGCGGAATCCAAAGCACTGAATGTGAACATGCTTTTAAGCGCAGCGGCATCGCAGTCTCACATGATCCACATCGCACAACATTTCAGCGCAGCATTCCTCTTGTTGAACCACATCCATGTAATGCTTTGTGTTACCATTACAGTAATGCGGTGCCTCTTCGGCTCTTTCGGACTGTGACCCTTTAAAACAGAGCAATACCATAATGCGACCCCTTGTCACTGGCCACATTAGTGAGATGCCCAACAGAGGACGCAGTTACAGGAGCTGACCGGAGAAGCCATGTTCATGAATTAACTGCAGTTAGTATTACAATCCTATATATACACCGCAAAGCTTTACAAAATCATCAGTCGGTGTGAGAAGAGGATGCTAACATCTGACCTATGGCATGGTGATACATTACACTGGTCTGCCAGATGGACTACATAATGCTATTGGCAGCTCATAGGAGTGTGAGTCATTGTGTGGTGGTTATGCCAGGACGTTCTCCCACCAACATCGCCAATGGATGTTCTGCTCCCATCATCAAACACCGCAGATCCTGGTTTGGCTCTAGACGCTCGGTGACTCTGCAACTCTCTCCATTCTCTCATGAGAACAAGACAAGTCCACACACACATGTCTCCGAGGCCGTCCACCTGCCGCTGTCCAAATCGTGTCATGCTTATGGTGACCAGCTAACACAACTCTGAAATTGCTTTCTAAATATGGGCCTCTCTGATACATTGTCATAACAAATGCATGGAATGTAAATGTTGTGGCAGAATGAAATGGTTTGTTCAGTGGTCGAGAAAGGTAAATATAAGCCTCCTTAAGTTGGCGCTGTGCACTGTGCCAAAAAGCTGCCAACAGACCCAGATTTGTCAAGGTGAGAACACCTGTAGGAAAAATGTTATTTATACTCACTGCACTCGGACTCACACACAGCCCCTGCCCCATGTGTGCTCTTACAGCAACAGCTGACGACCGCGATCCACATTGTCCACTTAAAAGCCGGCCCATGTCCCCCGCAACAAGTTCTTTTTCACGTTGCCGAACACCAAAAATACCCCAGATCCCCTTCCCGCCCGCTCCTGTTCATCTCTTCTCTATCCCGTAATAGAGGCCTTATTTTAGACATTCTCGTGTTCCCAGCCGGCCCGAACCTATTCCAGTGTTCCAGATAAAGCACGGCAGGTATTTGGAATCATTTTTCCATGGGCCTGGTCCGGAAGATAAAACAAGAGATATATTTGTGATGCGTGTGCCCAGATCCCATTTCAAAGAGCAGGTCGTCAGAATCTAGCGTGGGCTTATTGTTGTTTGACAGAGATGGAACAGAAAACTTTTCCTGTCCGCTGTGAGTGCTCCACTCTCTGATGACAGGGAGAAGGTCTACTCAATGACAACAACAATAATACATCCAAATGATCATTTTAACTGTTTCCACACTGAGACTAATAAAGGGTCTCTTATCTTATCTCTCATCTATTTGGTTAAAGTTTGTTCTTAACTCGGTTTAAGAACAACAGTTTCATGATTTGTTCCTCAAAACTGAACAATTATTCCAATCATAGCTGTACATGATCATGTTTGAGAATGATGTAAACACAGACAATGGAAGAGTTGTCGGTTCTGTATTTGCATGTTTTTGTCAGAATTACACCAAATCTTTGCACTTTTGCTGCGCTTCAGCTCCACGCTTCTGGGAATGATCTGGGAAACTATGTAAGCATTAGGACACAGCAGAGATTCAATATGAGATGAGTAAAAAAACATTGTATTCCTGCAAAGTTAGTAATTTTTCAACGTATTCCTATTGGCTCAATCGCATTGTTTTGAGAACCTATGTATTTACAGATCATTCTTCTGAACCTTTGTAGCTAATGTAATGTATTCAAAGATCACGTCTCAAAAATAAAAAGTTAAAAAAGCTACAAAATGTTACTCACCATGAATGGAAAGCTATCATGCCACTACCAACCCCAGAACAAAAGCTAAACAACTCCCAGGTCTCCAAGATGTCTACCCCAGGTTGCCAAGACGTCTACCTCTCGGGTCTCCAAGACGTTTGCCCCTGGTCTCCAAGATGTCTACCCCAGGTCTCCACGACGTCTACCCTAGGTTTCCAAGCATCAACCCCAGGTCTCCAAGATGTCTACCCCAGGTCTCCAAGCATCTACCCCAGGTCTCCAAGATGTCTACCCCAGGTCTCCAAGATGTCTACTCCTGGTCTCCAAGACGTCTTCCCCAGGTCTCCACGCATCTACCCCAGGTCTCCAAGATGTCTACCCCAGGTCTCCAAGATGTCTACCCCAGGTCTCCAAGATGTCTACTCCTGGTCTCCAAGACGTCTTCCCCAGGTCTCCAAGCATCTACCCCAGGTCTCCAAGACGTCTTCCCCAGGTCTGTCTCCAAGACGTCTACCCCAGGTCTCCAAGATGTCTACCCCAGGTCTCCAAGACGTCTACCCCAGGTCTCCAAGATGTCTACCCCAGGTCTCCAAGATGTCTGCCCCCGGTCTCCAAGACTTCTACCCCTGTTCTCCAAGACGTCTACCCCAGGTCTCCAAGATGTCTACCCCAGGTCTCCAAGATGTCTGCTCCTGGTCTCCAAGATGTCTACCCCAGGTCTCCAAGACGACTGCCCCCGGTCTCCAAGACGTCTATCCCAGGTCTCCAAGACGTCTGCCCCAGGTCTCCAAGACGTCTACCCCTGGTCTCCAAGACGTCTACCCCAGGTCTCCAAGACGTCTATCCCAGGTCTCCAAGACGTCTATCCCAGGTCTCCAAGACGTCTATCCCAGGTCTCCAAGATGTCTACCCCAGGTCTCCAAGATGTCTACCCCAGGTCTCCAAGACGTCTATTCCAGGTCTCCAATACGTCTGCCCCAGGTCTCCAAGATGTCTACCCCAGGTCTCCAAGATGTCTGTCCCTGGTCTCCAAGACGTCAACCCCAGGTCTCCAAGACGTCTGCCCCAGGTCCCCGAGTGGTCTGCCCCAGGTCCCCGAGTGGTCTACCCCAGGTCTCCAAGATGTCTACCCCAGGTCTCCAAGACATCTACCCCAGGTCTCCAAGACGACTGCCCCCGGTCTCCAAGACGTCTATCCCAGGTCTCCAAGACGTCTACCCCAGGTCTCCAAGACGTCTACCCCTGGTCTCCAAGACGTCTGCCCCAGGTCTCCAAGACGTCTACCCCTGGTCTCCAAGACGTCTACCCCAGGTCTCCAAGACGTCTATCCCAGGTCTCCAAGATGTCTACCCCAGGTCTCCAAGACGTCTATTCCAGGTCTCCAATACGTCTGCCCCAGGTCTCCAAGATGTCTACCCCAGGTCTCCAAGATGTCTACCCCAGGTCTCCAAGATGTCTACTCCTAGTCTCCAAGACGTCTTCCCCAGGTCTCCAAGCATCTACCCCAGGTCTCCAAGATGTCTACCCCAGGTCTCCAAGATGTCTACTCCTGGTCTCCAAGACGTCTTCCCCAGGTCTCCAAGCATCTACCCCAGGTCTCCAAGACATCTACCCCAGGTCTCCAAGACGTCTTCCCCAGGTCTCCAAGACGTCTTCCCCAGGTCTGTCTCCAAGACGTCTACCCCAGGTCTCCAAGATGTCTACCCCAGGTCTCCAAGATGTCTACCCCAGGTCTCCAAGACGTCTACCCCAGGTCTCCAAGATGTCTGCCCCCGGTCTCCAAGACTTCTACCGCTGTTCTCCAAGACGTCTACCCCAGGTCTCCAAGATGTCTACCCCAGGTCTCCAAGATGTCTGCTCCTGGTCTCCAAGATGTCTACCCCAGGTCTCCAAGACGACTGCCCCCGGTCTCCAAGACGTCTATCCCAGGTCTCCAAGACGTCTACCCCAGGTCTCCAAGACGTCTACCCCTGGTCTCCAAGACGTCTGCCCCAGGTCTCCAAGACGTCTGCCCCAGGTCTCCAAGATGTCTACCCCAGGTCTCCAAGACGTCTACCCCTGGTCTCCAAGACGTCTACCCCAGGTCTCCAAGACGTCTATCCCAGGTCTCCAAGACGTCTATCCCAGGTCTCCAAGATGTCTACCCCAGGTCTCCAAGATGTCTACCCCAGGTCTCCAAGACGTCTATTCCAGGTCTCCAATACGTCTGCCCCAGGTCTCCAAGATGTCTACCCCAGGTCTCCAAGATGTCTGTCCCTGGTCTCCAAGACGTCAACCCCAGGTCTCCAAGACGTTTGCCCGAGGTCTCCAAGACGTCTACCCCTGGTTCTCCTAGTCTTGTGCAGTAGATGTGCAGTGGTTTTACTTCAACAGGACCAGAGTAACACATGAGCATTCTGACCAATGAGAGCATCACTGATCAGAGCGGGATCAGTTTGGTGGTACTTAAGTGTGGATTTAGAGAAAACAATGGATTTCAAAAGAAAAAAAGTTCACAACGATAAGAGACACAACAATCCCGACAAAATCCGACCTTTGAGGAGGAGCCGTTTTATGAAACACTGAGGTCTATGAGGGAAATCTCCAGTACAGCCCGTGAGAATTAAGCTGCAGTCCAGGGTAGCAAATATATAAGAAAATAAATTTGTTTACAAAACCCACTGGCTAGTTTCTTACATGTGATGTTCTGCCAGATATATATATTGAGATCAAAGTCAACCCAAAAATCTTCAGGTGCATTCTAGCCTGCACTAACTCATACTTGTATCAGATGACTGGATGATGTGACAAAGACATATAATTTCACAAAAAGGCTAACATGTATTTTCTTCAAGATATAAAGAGATCCTTTTTGACTTTAAGGATCCCAATAAGTCTGTGGGTCACTGCGGTCATCGGCCTGCTGACTGGGACCCCACTGTTTCACCATTGCCTTTGGCCCTACACTACCAGTACCACATAAATCTCGACTACACACTAGTGTGTGTCTAATTATATTTATTACACAAAGTCACAAGTGGCCATTCATGGTATCTGACTCGTAGGGCATCAGTTGTATGCTTAGGTCAAGGTCCCACAGAATAAACAAAAGAAGTGAAGGCAGGTAGATGGATCGGAGAGCATGGGGGCTCAGCCAGAGACTGATCAGTAAAAACAGAGAGGCGGGGGTCAGGGGGGCAGACAGTGAGAGGACAAAGTTGCATAAACTCTCTCTCTCTCACTCATACACATACCCACACACACACACACACACACACACACCGACACACACACACACACACAGAGCACGGGCTGCTCTAAATGTGGCTTGTAGAAGGAAATTCTGAAATCTGAGTCTTGGCACCAGACAGGCTGGAAGCAGGCAGGCTGTTGGAGGCATACAGGGAGAGGAGAGGGGTACAGTCGTTCCCTCTGCGCGCCTCTTATCGGCTTATAGGCAACATTCATCTCAGCAGCACTGTGACCTGTGGCCCTCGCTCTAACTGAGTTGGCATGGTAACTGCCACAACGCCTCAAATGAGGAACATTTCCCCAGGGCAATAAGTGCACAAGCATTTTCAATTCAAAAACATGTGATTTACATTTCTGTGCTCATATAATTGTTAGTATTCTCTTTTGGATTCACTGGTTCTAAATCCTCCTGATGACTGATTTATCTAATTTTCTATCAAGTCCTAATGCTTTTGATAATTTCCCATCGCTGTGATGAAGATGGTCACAGTTGCAGTAGGTGGCCTGTCTGGCTATTATGCAGGTTTTTAATCAAATAGAGCCTAGCAGGCAACTATGATAGCGTAATGGAAAGGGCATTGTCAGACAGATGTGCCCATCAAAGCCAATTTCCAGTCTTTAAACTAAATCTATAATGTCTTCATAATTACTTTCTACTGTTGAGCCTCTTTGTCCATCGACTGTCTCATCGTTCTATTTCTAAACAGCCAGCTGAAGGTTGGGATGTTCCAGCGGGCCATGACGTTTCTGATACGTGTGATCCAAATGTGTTTTATTGTCCCAACATCAGCTCCAGGGAACTGATGCATTGTGGGAAGTACATGGTATAGTTGACAGTTTGGTTTGATTGTGCTGCTATATTCAACATGGCCCGTGTTTCATTACAGTTAGTGACAGCATCATATGAGCTGTTTTCATAATTAGGAGCAGGAACAAATTGTTCATAGTGACCGTGTTATTCTTAGCTGGTCTGAGCGGTGGACACGCTCTGAGCGCCTTTAACACCATGTTTACATAAGGCCTTTCTTCTGTCTCTTTTTATCTTGTCCTCATCTCCTCACTTTCCTCGGTTCCCCAGGGAAAGGCACAGAGGGAGTGGGCGGGCTGCTGTATGTTAAACCTTTGAAGTGGCCTGCTGTGCTGAGCAAGGCTTGCCACCTGTTGGTGATGTGTGTGCACTAACGGAGGTAAATCTGCAGTTTTGATGAGCAGAGACAACAGTGCAATCTCCATAGCGATGTGACAGTGGGCACTGAACGTCTTTCTCAGGAGGGGGTGCTGAAGGTGGGATGCAGGCCCCTCCCCTGTGGGGCCTGGTGACACAAAGTCTCCCAGGGCGAGCGTGGGCCAGCCTGGGTGGCTCCAGACCTTCTGTGTGCCTCAGTGTGTGAGCGTCCCTGCTTGGGCCGCCATATGCCACCCACCCAGGCCAGCCGAGAGGGGCGGGGCGACCCCTGGCTACCACACTCACCAGTTGGCCCATTCTCTCAGTCACACGCCGGCCGGGCGCCATGTTTAAACTCCCACTGCTGTTACTCTGGGACAGAGCCGTGTCAGGGTGGGGCAGCAGCGGGGGCTTAATTATTGTGCATGATACTAATGAGCTCAGCCTGTGAACGAAACCTCTACATGCTCCAGTGTTAGTGACAGAGCTCTGTTTCTGCCGTCACCAAACAGTATCAAGAGCTGAGTGGTGATCGAATTCTAATAAATGTGTCTACAGGTACAAAACATCTCTTTTGATTATAGATTTTTTCCCCCACAAAATCTTTCAATAAGTGCGTTTAAACAGATGTAGAGTCCTGGCATAGTTTCCTTTGACTAATGCGGGTGAGAAGAAACTCTACCTGAGCTTCCTATCTCAATCTGTAAACTATTTTCCAAAACTGGTTTCAAACCGCAGGTCTCCAGAGTCTCCATCTGATTTTCTATTTGTCTCTGACCCTGAAAGCATACACTACAAGTAGAACAGGGCTGTAGTCTTCCAAGCTTGTCTTTTATCAGTTTATATGCAACACATGGAGCCGGGCTAACCTGTTGACACGCACACACCACCCTCGCTTTTCCCCAACATTAGATTTGGAAACTTACCCCTCCCCCCTCTTTATCAAATGCCTGAGCTGTCTGATCCCATCACCTTTTCAATCTGTCTCTACTTGGCCTGTCTCCATCCCTCCATCCCTTGCCTTCACTTCCTGGGACGTCCCGCGATCCACAGCCCTCGACCTCCTGGTGTCTGAGTGCAAACTGTATCAGTATGTGTGTGTGTGTGTGTGTGCGAACAATCAAATCTTGTCTTGTCGTGTTTGTGTTCTGCGCATATATTTGTGAATGAACATACTATATCTGTTTATGGTGTGTGTTTAGGTCTGTGGTGTTTATAAGAAAAGCCTATGGTTGCTCCAAAAGCAGAGAGGTAAGTAAACAACCTCAGTCCCAGGGGAATCTGTGGTTATCTGGTGAACAAACATGCGGAACGGTTCAAGGAATGACATTTGCAGCACACTCATTCCATAGTATACATTTTTTAATTTGTTTGATTCTCTGATCTGCGTTGGCGAATTTGACGGTTTTGTATAGTCCTGCTAGATTTATGATTTAAAAGGCTATACAAGTATACATTGAATTGATTTTAGTTTGAAGTCCAATTCTTCTGCGTTCCCGCCTGAGGTCAAAAACGTCAAAGCGATTATCCACTGTGAAATAAGCGTGGCCTAAAACATCTTTAACATGTGTGAAGTTTAATCAAGGCCATAGATTAGGTTTTCACAGCAGTCCTGGCACGGCTTTCTTATTTGAACCATTTAACTTTACGTGCTCCTGTCTGTCTGTCTCTCTTGTTTGAACTACCAGCCCGACATGAAAGAAAACGTGAGAAATATGAAATCAAATGAAAACCAAATGAGTGTTTCTCCGTCCAACAGCACTTTACACGCCGGCCCCTTGAGCACGGCTCCCCTTTTTCCACAAAAACGTAAGTGATTAAAGAGAAAAATGCCTGCGCGCTGCCTCCCTCTCAGCCTCTTTATACACACTTCATACAGATTAACACTTAGCAACGTTTATTTCCCAGACCGGCGTGCTCCTAACTAATGTGTTGGAGATGTGTGCGAGGAACGAGGACAAGCCGAAAAGACAGTGGAGTTTAAATATAGGATTTGGAGGCTGGTTTTCTTCTTGGCGGCACACTAGTGAAAACATCATTGTGTGGCCGCTGTCAGCTCTGAATTATCCCTGAAGACATGTTGGCACCAGACAGAGCAAAGGGCCTTTAGAGGATGGAGAGGATTTGACACAGCAGAGACACATACTACTTGGTGCCTCTGCATACGCTCTGCATGTATTTTTAGAGCCATAGTTCTGATCAAAATGATGGACTTTTACATATTTATTCGGTTAAAAGACTTAAAAGCGGCACTCGTATTGGCTGCAGTGGCTTAGACCGAACGCAAAGGATAAACAATAGATGTGTGTTGCACAAATGGGAGTTGTAGAAGTTTAATTCTTCAGCCATTAGAGTAAAGAGATGCTTCATATGTCCCACGGTGGGGAAATTCCAGTGTTGCATCACAAGTTACAGAGACGCACACAACACATTTAATGAATAACAACTCTAGCATTGAGATTGTATTTTATTTTATTCTAGTGTTGAGTTTCTCTTGTGTTAGGTCACATGTTTTCAAAGATCTCATACATTTTACAATAATAAAAAAGTACTAAATGTTATCTACTGTAGTTTAGTGAAATGCTTTGTCCGTGCACACATTTGTTCTGGTTCTAGTCTTTCAATCCACAATCCTAGTTTATTCTAGGATTGTGGATTATTATTCGATTGTAGCCATGAACTGATTCTTAGCCGTTGTCCCACAGTCGCACTCACTCAGTTTGAACGATTGCAAGTGGTCTATAAAACCGGAGCACCTGGAGAAAGCGTGCCCAGACACGGGGAGAACATGCAAACTCCACACCACACGCAAAGGCCCAAGGGGTGGAATCAAATGTTGCATTAAAGTGGGCATTTATAGAAAACTTTTTGTAGAAATAGATTTAAGAAGAAAAAAAGTTCAGGATGACAAGGGGCATTAAAATCCCTGCAAAATCTGACCTTTACGAAAGCTGTAGGTTCTCTATCAGGTTCTCTGTCAGCTGAGGTCGAGCTGTTTTAGTTTACATTGAGTTCTATGCAACTTTTTTTCCGAGTGGCCCATGTGAATTTGGTCTGCAGTATTGTGAGTGCCCATGGTTGGGTTAGGGTCAGCTTTTGCAAAGGTATTCCAATGTGTTTTTTTTTACTGCAAATGGCAAATAAACTGAATCTGAATCTGAATTACCCCAAGAGTTCATATTCAACTGCTCGATGCTGCTCCACCGTCCAATAACCACATGTATAGAGGCATAGAACAGGACGGTGACTATGTTTGGTGTAAGTCTCTCTTGGTCGACATGTGACTTCAGATGATTTGACTTGGTTTTATTTGTTTGTTGTGTGATTCCGTAACTTAGCAAAGCAAATACATTTTATCACAGTCCACTTCGATCCAACCGTTACTTTCTTCACCATTTCCCAAGAGCCCATTTGCAATTATTACCAATAACAATAATGCTGCTATTATCTTTTATTATTGCGTTTTTCCGAGGTTCAGCCAGCAGCTGTTGGAGATTTTGATAAGTCTTACAAAATAACTCACGTCCTGGCGCTACAGTCTCTTTGGTTTCACATGCAGCCGCACAGCATGGGTGGGTATCTGAAATCTCGAGACAAATATCATGGAGAAGATTTGGGTTGCCATTGAGAAGAAAAAAAAAAGAGGAAAAATGGTAGAATTATTTGAAATATGTGACTCGGTTAAGATTCCTGCTTCACACGTGTTTCTCTGATGACAGTGCATTCCTCAACCTGGTTTCAACTCCTCGCATGACTCAGCTCCGAGCTTTGACTCTGGCCTTGTTTATGATGTCACAAAAGCCCAGTGGCTCATTTTGGGGTGCGAGAAAGTCCGAGAATCCAGCTGTAAGCGAAAGCGAAAGCCCCCCCGCCCCCCCCACTCCCCTTTACTTCTACAAGCCTACCATAAAGGAGCATGTCCAATGTACCCACTGCGTTTCATTAAAACCAGACCACATCAATCAGGCAGAACTTTAAAGACCATGTCCTGCTTCTCCACCAAGAGCAGAGGAAAACATTGAGCTGTTAAAATGGACGACCTCACAGTAGACGCACACCCCGATGTTCCAACACTTAACACCAGGCTACTCTCACTGCCCCTGGACCACACAATCTACACAAGTCCAAGACCACACATAATGGTCTCACACCCAGAAGACCCCAGAAGACCTCACACCGAACACCATGCGAACATTTCTGGACTATTGACCGTCTGTGGCTATGCTAAAGTGCTGAGTCATTTCTCTTTCTATCACACACAACGTAAAATTTAACTTAACCGTTTAATGGTTTCCTCGACCATTCGGTGGATCACTTTTTGAGCCACTCTATGGACTTGAAGCTTGGGATTGAAATCTTGCTCATTGGGGCATCTCTATCTCTTGGTTTTAGGCACTTTTACCATCTCAACCATTTTGTAGAGACCTATAAAAACTCAAACTTATTTTGTTATTATTGCTCCTACTTCTAAGAAAATCAATCTTTCTTTCAATCTTTCCTCAAGGAGTAAACACTAAAGGGTTAAATCCAGATACAAAGTTGAATTTAAGTTGAATACAGGTCAACTTAAACACAGACAACTCAATGCATTCAGATATCCATACATGTTTTTGAATGTTGAGTGTCCTGGATCATCACCACTGTCCTTAAATAATGCTAGACCCTCTGCAAGGGAAAAACTCTAAAACCCAGTGTTCTTTCCAAAAATCAAGATACAATGCAGAACAGGAACACACGAACAAAAGTAAGATAGAAAGGACAGCAAATGACAAAAAAACCCATACAATACAAGAAATTCCAACACAAATAACACTAAATAAAAATATCAGATCTTATTACATGAATGCAATTTTTATTTGTTTTAAGTAGCTCTTAAAAATATGACCAAACTGGGAACTTCTCATGGAACTACTTGTGCAAAGAATGGGCAAGATTCCACACCACTGCTGGTGAGAGGAGATGCAGAGTTGGAAGGTCAACAGGGGGTATGCCAGATGGACCAGCGGCAGGACGGATGAGTAGATAAATTAGCGGAAGAGGACTGAGCCGAGGGAGAGCAAGAATCTGGGAAGTCCCATGGGTGCGGACGGGAAGGCAGCCCCAGTGATGGAAAGCTTTCAAACTCCTTTCATCGGCTGCCTGAGGACTGGGGCTTTACAAGAGCAAGATGAGCCGGCGCCACAAGAGCTGCTTGGCCCTCTCCAACGAAACCCAGACGCTGAGGCGAAGTAGGAGCCTATCAGCACCCTGCCCGCTGCACGCGCCCCACCCACTCAGCCCTGGAGAGCCCACTCCCAATGTGTGCGCATCAGCTCCCCTCGCAGCCGCAGCACCCAGACCACGCACTTGTGAACTGCAACTTTGAGTGCAATTATCCTTGAAAGATGATTTTTTTTTGCATCTTTCAAGTTTTTTGCGCAATTCAGGTTCAGATTATTGCATGTAAAATGGAGCAGTAGTGTATACTCTAATGCAGGGCTGTCCAATTGTTTTCATATGTGTATCTTTCACTGTGAAAGCTAGCAAGTGAGAGGACCACAAGAAATGACACTGGAGACCGCGTTTGGCCCGTGGTCCTGAGTTTGGACACGCCTGCAACATACATGTATTGTTCCCATTAAGCTGGACCTCACTTTGAAACCACAAAACTATGTTATAAAATCCATGTTACTAGTTCCTTGATCTCAAAATTGTTTGGTTTTGTGACTATGCATTTGTAAACTGTAGCTTTGCCAAGAAATCATGTGCAATTATTCTTCAGAGATTAACAAAAAGGCATCTTTCATGTTGTTTAAGCAATTCAGAGGTTGTATCTGCACCACAGTTGCACACAAGGGAGCAGCTTTGCCTTGACACCAGACAGAGATGGACTAATACCAGTGATGGGAATAACGGCGTTACTAGTAACAGCGTTACTAACGCCGCTACTTTTTTCAGTAACGAGTAATCTAACTAATTACTTTGACTGTAACTATAACGCCGTTATCATTTCCGACATCCCATTACTGCGCGTTACTCAAGACGCACAATGAACTTCTCTTTTTACTTCATGATAGGACTGGTGCGCGTGTTGTCATGAGAGAAGGGAGGATGAGAAAACCTCTCAGCAATTATTGGCTGATGTAAAACATATTTCCTTTACAATCTACATGTCTACAGTTGAGAGGATGGCTCATAAATTGTGTTTTTGAAACAAATATGGGTCTTAATCGCGCTCAACCACGGCTTGTATCACCGTGAGGCCTCAGAGGAGCGCGTGTGAGCGCAGAAGTCGGCTGCATACAATTCCATCGATAAGCTCCTTTCTCTTCCTGGTTTATCTGCTAAGGACAGCAACAGGTTTGGCTAACATACATATAACACATTTTAAGATAATTTAAAATGCACTTAGGGTAATTTTTCAATGACTATAGGAATGATAAGAAAGAGAGGTGAAGTGTAAGACGGTTGATTTTAGAAATCGGATGCACCCGGCTGCAGCAAAACAGAGGAGTTTATGGAGACACGCGTTTTGTTTTTCTTTTTAAAACTCATTGGACTCATTTCCAAACGGAGGATTACATATCTACGCTCAAACTATTATCTGGACTTAAACACGGAACTGGTCTGAACCGAAGTGGGCTGTGCAGGTCATTTATAAGGTAAGACCCATAACTCATAGTTTTGCGTTTTGTATAAACAAACAATGCGGCCATGAAACATATTCTGCTGTAGCCAAACAAATAAGCCGCTCTCTTGGTCCAGTTGATTTATATGATATATATATGTTCATCTGATTGGGCTGAAGTCAGTGCTTCACCGGTGTTTCCACATTCACAGTGGCGGGTGTTGGTGTTTAGTGCTTACAGCACAGAGAGAGATGGAGAGTGAACAGGACTTCAGCAGCAAAACAGCCTTTTTCTAGATGGAAATATTGGCACTATTTCAGACTCACTGAGGTTAAAGGTTAAAGGTAAAAATGCGCACGTCGAGTACACATTATGTTCCAGAACAAAACGAAAAAGTAACGCAATAGTTACTTTTACTGGTAACTAGTTACTTTTATAGTGGAGTAACTCCGTTAGTAACTCAGTTACTTTTTGGGAGAAGTAACTAGTAACTATAACTAATTACTTTTTCAAAGTAACGTGCCCAACACTGACTAATACTCAAAAAACATATTCTTCTAGAAGTGTCTTTGTGTCTTTGCATAGAGTTTGAAGTTCTTACCAGTCCACACTGAGCGATCGCCGTCTGTAGGATGCAGGTCTGTCTCGATTCTTCTCTGCTTTGTATGGCCGCTCCTTCAGGGACAAGCGGTGAGTAAACTTGGAAATCCCGGACTCTGACCTGAAGGAAAACAACGCTTTAAATGTCTGCTATCCTGAATTTCTCCTACAAGGATCAATAACGTATCTATGCAAGTTCCATGCAAATTCCCAATCAAGTTTCAAGTTTCAAATTGACACACCCTGACATTATAGATCATGGCGACTTAATTTTGCATCTGTTATTTTGACTATAAGTGTTTCAATGTTCAATGTGTTCAATGTGAACGTCTTTATAATGCATATCCTGATTTAATTCTGCTTGAAAGAACCCCCCAAAAAAACAGAACTTCCAGGTTACTCTGGTGCGCAAAGATCCCGTCTAATTTTTGACAGTATTCTGAGTAATCTCGGAGGACTTTACAAAATCATTGAATGTCCCAGAATCAAACAGTTCAAACACAAGAAATGCAATGACGAAAAAACACACATAGAGCCATTGGTCCATAACAGTCAGATTACTAAAGTCTATAATGGAGGTAAAGTTCATAAATCCTCATGGATCATCACCACTGTCCTTTTTCTTAGACCCTCACAAAGGTCCAACAGACCCTCATCCCCAGTTTGACATGATTTTTGATGATAATGGAGCCCGAGAAGTTAATGAACAGGCTGACAATGCACTAGTTCGTACATGAGACATTGCGTTGCTGGAAAAGCTACATACTTCCTGTGTAATTTTCTCTAAATCTTTTTTGCACACATTTTAATCTACTATTAGGTTGCCAATGTCCCAGTTCAACTTTTAGCATTAAATTAAATAGAGGAAATGTAATACTTCTCCCATAATGGCTCGGGACGCATTTGATGGGACTCAGCACTGCTCTCATATTGCGGTGCTAACAGTGGGGAGTAATCAAAATGTAATATTTTCAATCGAAGAGACAGGCTGCAGTATTTGGAGCAGGAAAGACTCTGGAACATGAAACTATCACATAGGGACACTCAGGGTAAAGTAATATAAAGTTATGCATAAGTGACCCCCCTGCTTAACTGATCTCATACCCTGCTGTTTCCATTTTACTTCAGAATGATAAAACATCTCTGCTAATACAGATATCTCAGACAAGCAGAGCCAAAAAGTGTTTTAGCCTCTCTACGGTGTGCTCGGCTGGAGACAGATAGCCTGGGCACCGCGGCCACCTCCAGGAAGTACGTGACAGTATTGTTGTCCACATACGGCCTCAATAAACTCGGATGGGTGATTCCTGAGCTGTGACATGGATGAATGACAGAGCAACAGTGCATCCAGTTGAGTCTAATTCAATAGCTTCATTGGCTCAACGTCAAGTGGAATGAAGTGGAGGTCTGACAGCCTCCCGTGAGTAATTTTTATGGGACAGAAGACACTGTGTTCAGTCTGCTGAGTGCTCCAAAGGGATATCATTAACCACACAACAATAATAGAGTCATTTGGATTGAGGAGCACTTTCTGAGGGTTTTCTGGCTGTAGTACAATGTGCTTCTTCATGTAAATAACAACACCATATCGTGATGAGAGTGAGGGATATAGCACAGTATAGGGCTGTAATCAACGGAAAGGAGGCGGCACATATATGGACTAATAATGACATTCATGAGCAAAGATGTTTGGCTTTTTGCTTCATGATTCTTTGCTTCATGGACTAAAACTGCATTCATCTTGTTTTGATTGTATATCTGTGTTTTTAGCTTTTGTCGTTTTTAATGACTGCACCCAGGAAGAGCAGATTGCAAGGCTCTTATGGGATCTATATAAATATACAAACAACATGATTAGCTTGATAATTGTTCAGATGTTTAGATCCTAAAGCTCATTGAAGATAGATTTGTCTACGAGGACGTGTTACACATTTGGTTAAAAATATGTCGTAAGAACATTTTTATTTAATCTTGCAGTACTTAATATTGGTTGTATTAGAGTCAGTGAATGTAATATATGTTAGAACCAGACAATTGACCAAAAATAAATACATTTTTTCCGTCATTTTATAATTATCAGTGTCTCAGTTTGTTTATGTCAAGGGTGTCCAAACTTTTTAATTTGAGGGCCACTTTAGTTCACCAGAGTTGTGCAGAACCGACAGCCAAGACTGGGTGAGTTGGCTGGATGAGATTGTGAACTTGTGATCTCAAAAACTATCTTAAGTTAGCGAGGCAGGGGCCAAATGAAACGACGACAGCAAGGCCCTTATTTGGCATGTGGGCCATAGTTTGGACATCCCTGGTTTAAATCCATGTATTGATTACTATTAACTATTGCTATTACAAAATAACTATTAAAAACTAGTCGATAAACTTGTTACAGCCCTAATTGAAGTTAAAATCTATAGAAAGGAGCAGAGAGATGAAATAAACCTGTTCATTTGGTTTCCTCTGTAAGTTTACCTCCATCTCACTGTATTATAAAGAGTTTAATTGTGAGGAAAGTATTTGCAGTTTGAGTAACAATTGTTTAACGTGTTCCCAAAAGTAAGAATGATCTTATTCAGTCTTTATGTAAAGCATGGAGCCTGTAGGACCAGCTGCCACTGTGATCAAAGTTGACCCGTTCAGAATGACCTCATGCTCAGGCTTATCTCCCAGCAGAGCCCCCAGTCCCAGTGTGGTGGTTCCCACTGGTCCAGCACACCACTACTGTGTTCTAAAGCCACGCCAGCTCCTCACAGAGCCCGCTGACCTCCAAGACAAAGAGGCATATTTTCCCTTATGAATCATTCAAACAGGGTGTGGGATTTGAGTCAGATGGCAAAGGAGCCACTAATTGATGGCATTAGTCGAGGATGACTTCTTCAAGGGCTTTTAATTGAATTAGTAGCACCGCTGTATGTACGTCAAGCCCTATGATGCGTCACTGTTCAAATTCTTACATATTACAAACTGGACTTTGATTTGCATAATTCACTTCACTAAAAGGCCCGCTCGGATGGCTGATTCAAATCATCACTGGCTGTAAATAAAGCATTACGTGTCATTTTTGTTGTCTGATCTGTGACCAATGGAGGAGCCCCCTCTTTTAAACTTCAAACAGAACCTTTGGCTCAAACACTTGACACAACATGACAATAGGATAATGACTTCAATGCCGTGAAAACATACATGGGATCAGGAGTTCAAAGCATGGGGGCACCAGACGTAGTCAGGGACTCAGGGAATCCCTTTGAGGCTTTAGACACAAGTGGACATGAGAAGCAGGTGCCTGTTGGCTCCTTAAGAGCGTCCAGTCTGGCCCTTACCCCACGCAGCTGTCCCACGATAACATCATCACTGTGGGCACACACTGAGCTAAATGATCCTCATATCACACATGAATTCTCGCACTAGTGCTGCACGTGTCTCACTCTCTTCTTCTTCAGAATGAGGAAACGCGATAATATTTTGACTTTTGTGTCTATTGCCCTTGGAGCTGTCCAATCATCATTACCGACCATATTATTAGTATTTTTTCATTTTGATCAAGGACACAAAACAATATAGTTCATAGTTAAAAGTAAATATACAAAACATGCATTATTTTGCATCAAGTGGTACAGTGTTTAATGTTTGTGGTCTTTGCCCTGGACGTGTGTGTGTGTGTGTGTGCGCGCGTGCGCGTGTGTGTGTGTGTGTGTGCGTGTGTGTGTGCGTGTGTGTGCTTTTGTTCGGTAAATATCCTCCTGAAGTTGTGGCTCGAGGAAGGTCCAGCGGCCGCTACGTTGTCGACACATCTTTATTGTCACCTCTCTTGCGTTGCCATGGCAGAACAGGCTGCAGTTATTCATGGTATGAGTCTTGAAGAGCACAGATTGTTCGTAGAGTAAACAGAGCTATCAACTGTGACCCTGTTCACAGCAGCTCTAATCTCCTGTTATATGAGAGCAAGTTAAGGCTGTCAGGAATGTTTTGTTTTCCGGAGAGAAAATTACATCAGATTTACCTTAACTTCGGGAGAACGCAGCTACGCAGAAAATAGACACACAAAAATGTAATAAACTCAGATGCTTTAAAGACAGTGATTTTTAAGTCATTACGAGCTAGAAGTTGTGCAAAGTCTGTTATTATGTATGACTACGAATAGTTTGTACCTGAATATGTGTGGTGTTTTTTTAGTGAATTTTGTGAAAGAAAAAAAAGAGCCAAAACCAGCAGAATTTCACCTGACAAACTGGCGCCCCAAAGTTAGTCTCAATAAAAACATTATGGACATCAAGGCCATTTCTAATTAAGAATAACACCACTTTTCAATTCAATTAAAAAATAAGTTATTTGTGTATTGCCCTGTCGATTCACCAACAACAGATCAGAGAATCAAACAGACACATAAGAGCCTTTGGTCCATAACGAAAAGATGACCAATGTCCAGAAATGTTTATAAATGTCCTTAAATATCCCAGATCATTACACAGAAAAGTCCACATATGATTTAGACGAGATTAAAAAGTTGTGGTTTGATGTGATTTCATGTCAAATGGGGCGACAGTGGCTCAGTTGGTAGAGCGTTGGCCTTTGAGCCTGAAAGTCGTGGGGTCGAGCCTTCCATAAGACCTCCTTCACGACTTCCACTGATGACTGCTGCCGTTGTGTCCTTGGGCAAGACACTTAACCCCACTTTGCCTGAAGCCCCCGCTGAAAGATTTCAGCTCCTGTGGACTCACCACCTCCAGGAGGATCAGTGAGGGGCTGGTGCTCTGTGAACTGACTGCCACCCCCCCGACCCAGAAATGGATTAAGGGGAAGAAAATGGATGGATGGATGGATGGAAGGATCATGTTTTAAACGAAATCAAATGTAAGATTAAGAGCAGAAATGAGTCTTTTTCTGATCTGATTGTATTGAATATTTCTGAAGTTATTACGAAAACACATATTTTCTTTTGATTTGAAATGGAACTTTTGCCGCAGCTTTTGCCTCATGAAAGCGAGGCCCTATAACTCCAGACACACTACAAATCTGCAGCAAAAATAAACAAGATTCCGCAGCTGAATCTCCTCAGTCAGAACCCCATCTGAGAATCACGTGTTTATTAGCGCGCCAATGCCCTGTAACGGTTTTCTCTAAAAGTGT